GACAACGGGTTTGAAGCCGGGTGACCCTTGGAAATGTTAATGCCCGGAAAGGCTCGCGTTAGGCATCCTGGGCAGAAACAAACCCTGTTGAATTCACTGTGAATTATTTCCATATGCTGCAGTCTGGAATATCTTGGATTCAAGGCACTAGAGCGTTTAGTCATCTGTACAGCACCTTCGGTTTATGTCAGAAATGATTTCTGCATGTATCTGACAGGAACTTAAAACTAAAGCAGTGTTTCTCAACCCAGGCTGGCTGGGGAATCCTGGGAGTTGAAGTCCACCCATCTGAAAGCAGCCAAGTCTGAGAAACCCTGATCTAAAGTGTGCTTCAGTATGAATGAACTGTTTCATTCTGAATTTGTTATTGCTGTAAATATATTTCAGGTGGCTACATGTCAGGTGAAAATGCTGGTAAATTGATACAAGATTCAATTCTAGAACTTTGCTCAAAGGTATGTTCCAATATAGACTAAATACTTTGAAATATAAACTTTAAGCTCAGACATCTGGATGAGGATGTAGGGAATTTACTTATCCAATTTTTAGAAGCAGCACCGTAAGGAATCTGTCGAAATGAAGATCTGGACCAATTTTGGCAGGTGGGAGCCACGGGCTGCAGTCAAAAAGGGATAATCCAGCAGGTGTGACAGAGTCCCCTTGCTCTCGAGGAGCCCTATCCTGCCACCTCCTTAGAAGGTTGTGCCTCTCCAGTAGTTAACTCTCCACAGAGGTTGCATCTTTGATGCTTTCCTCGGTAGCTTGGTTGACAGTGTGTCTCTTCAGGTTTCACCCCAGAACAGAAACAGCTGACTTAACAATTGGAGTTGTAGCCCAGCAGTTGGACGCAGCGTGATTTTTGTTCTTCCTCCCAGGAATGTTGTGAGAGTTCTTCACGCTCCCTTTAAAATGGGAACTGAGTGCAGATACAACTAGAATGTGTATTTTGGGCATTCCTTTTCTCCCCGTTTTGCCCAAGATTCTACCCTTTTACACAATGCGGCGTCTGAGATCTTCCACATAGTTTGTATTCCTGGGCTGCCCAAAGAAACACGCTGCTGTGTGAAAGGTTTTGGATTCTTTTTCTCCTGGCCTTCACTTGCATTCCTGCTCTGTTAGATGGATTTGCGTGAGCTGTGGTTGACTTTGAAAGCTGTAAATATTACCGGGGGTGATACCTATAAAGATACAGATTGAAAGACAGTAGATTCAAAATCGTAAAAGTCATCTGATTTGGGAGGGAATACACTGATTTTTTTCAGAAAATACCTTTGGGAAAGGTATTGAATTGGGCTCTATGTCCTATTTTATTATTTACTGTATTGTGTTATTTTATTTATTCTGGTTTAGATGTAACAGATACCAACTCAACAAAGTTTCAGCATTTTCACCCCGAATCTTGCTTGGAATCTTGATTGAGGTTACCGAACGCTCAAACGTTTGTCCATCCTGTCAGATTTCAGTGGATTTTTAAGAGCATGGGTGTTAGGTTGACAGTCCGTCGTGTAAGAGAGGACTTTGCTTTTCGTACCCTGAATCTCCCCATGTTGAGCTTCCGGGCATGACCCCAACCAAGCTCTGTCCTCTCTTTCCGCCTCGTTGGTGACCTCCCTGCCCTTCCCAGCAAGGCCCCTGTGGCGGTGGGGGAAGTTTGGGTCAGTCGCTTTCGACCCGCCTACCTTCAGCTGCGTGTTCCAATGTTAGCCTCCTTTACTCAGTCTGGAGAGATCCTTTGGAGCTGTTTGCAATTCCCCGTTGGATTTTACTACCCTTGTGTCATTCATGAAAGTACGAAGCTACACTTTGTGAACCGAGTTCTCTGAAATAAAGCAAATATGGCCACAGCTTGAAACCTGAGGCTGGACAGGCATTTGCCCAGTCAATTATGCTGCTGTTGTAGGGTTGCCGTTGTCGTGGACTCTTCAGCACAACGCCCGACTCCTCTTCTTTTCCTTTTCTCTCTTTCCTAGCTGAAGGATGAGGCGGTGGCTCTGGTGGACGTCATTGCTCCCCCCGACTTTGTTCTCGGCTCACCAATTGGCAAGGCCAATGGAGAGGTAACCAGGGCCTCGCCCTCCTCGGGGGCCAAGGAAGAGTTGGCTTCTGACATGATCGCGTTTTCTGAATTGCATCACAGAACTTCAGAATTGTGTCCCAGTCTCCGATACTTAAGGCTGAGCCACACGACTGTGGCAAAAGGGCTCCGAAGCAAAAAGAAAAAGAAAAAAAGATTGATTTTTGGAAGTGTTGCCTCTCAGAGGATTGCAGCACTCCCCAGCCATCAACAGATGGCAGTGCCAGTCATGACCCTTCACGGTGCAGCACCAGGTTATATCAGGAAGCACCACAATGGAGCTCGGGAGGGGCAGATGAGGGACCTCGGTCTTCACGAGGTTCATGGGCACAGAGCAGGCAGCAGGCCTTCCTGGTGATAGCCCCCACCTTAGGAGACCCCTCCCTTGCAGAAGTGTCAGTGGCTCCAAACCTCCTTGCTTTCAAGAAGCTAATTAAATCCAGCAAGTTTGATGTTTGGGTTTATTATTAAATGTATGTGTTGCCCGACTCCCAGCGACTCAAAATTAACTCAGAGTCGTTACTGTTTTATAGAATCTATGAGGATTGTGGCATTTTACAAACATTAAATCCATCAATCAAATTATGTAATAATTACATAACTTTTTTAGATAACGTTTTATCTATAAAATGATAAAGGGTCATAACATGCTTCTTGCTTTTTGGCACGATACACAGAAGTGATAATATTCTAATATTTGCACGTTAGATTCTAGTTCCAGTTTAGTGTAGCTATTCTAATGTCATTTTCAGATGTTACTTTCAAACAATATTTTCTTACTTTCTCTAGCAGTCGTTGCGCAGCTGATAGTTGGAACGTTGCAGCGCGAGCTGAAATTGGCCTGGGTGGGGGGGTCCCCACTTTTTGCTTGTTTTGTTTCCTTTTTAAGAAGGGACATGAGTGGAGCGAGCAACCCAGAAAGAACTGGATTCAAAGGAGCATTTTTACTTTCAATAATTGCAGTGAAAAAAGAATCCTAGCAGCCGCACCTTTCCATGTGGCATATTTGCCAGATTTTTTTTTTTTTTGGGTGATTCCCCCAAGAAAGAAGCAGGAAAGAATACAGTCCACATTGACTAGACTAGACTAGACTAGACTAGACTAGACTAGACTAGACTAGACTAGAATAGA